CGTGTCGCTGGATCTCAGCGGAGGTCGGGGGGGTCCGGGGGGTTAATAGTCTCTAGAGTGTCGGAGGGAGGAGGCGAGAGTGGGGGAGGTTGTTGAGGCAGAGCCCAGCCACCAGTTTAAAGGGAATTTTAAGCTGGGATGTTGCCCTGCATGAGGCGCTGTGTAAGTGCAAGTTGTTGTTGAATTCCACGTTAGAACCCGATTGGGAACTGTTGAGGAACATAAGAAGGTTCCTCTGATGTCACTTCCTGGGTGCTGCATGTGCACAGCATCCAGAACGTGACATCAGTGCCGACTTAATGACTGGATGTTGACTACGTTTAGTGCAGGAACCAAGCCGGGGAGGGGAGGGCAGGGCAGTGGGTTGGGTGGGGGTAGAAAGAGTAAATGTGGGAGCAAGGAGTGGGGGATGGGATGGGGTTGAAGCAAGGGAGCGACTGGGTGTGCCAGCCAAGCTCGCCAGCCAAGCTCACCAGCCAAGCTCGCTCAAGGCAAATGGTTCCAGGTGTTACTCTCAATAATACTAACCGTGTGCCAGGGGGAGCATGGGGGGGGGGGGGGGAGTGGGGAGCAGAGGTGAGGTGAGAAGTGGGGGGGAAAGCAAAATGGGGGAGTAGGGGTGGGAGCGGGGGGGGGGGGAAGCAGGGACGTGGATACTGTCAGCTCACGACTCAATCTGTCAATTTACTTTTTCTCTGGAGGACAGCCACTAAAAATACATCACTTTATACTTTTCTGTAAAGTTCTATTCAGCCCATAATTCACTATGCTCTGAAATGGTTGTTTTGGCTTTCGCTGCATAATTATACGTCTTATATATTCAACACAACAAAGCCCGGCGAGTATGTACCTCAATCACCGGCAGAAAATCCTCTTCAGTCTGTCACCTTGGAGACTAATAGTTTCCTGGATTTGCTTTGCATTAATGTACAATGGCTCCTCTGTCTCCTCTTGCTTCCTAATCACACTGTTCCTACCTTGCTTCAGAGAAGAAGCTCAGTCCCATTGATTGTCTATCTGAGAACGCAGGAACAGGAGGAGGCCATTCAGCCCCAAACAATTCTATAAGATCATGGCTGACCTGTGCCTCAATTCCAATTCCTCGCCCTTGCCCCGCATCCCTTAATACCTCGACCTGACAAACATCTATCTACCTCAGTCTTGAAGATGTGAATGGATCCAGCCATAATCCACAAACTTTTGGGGAGAGAGTTCCAGATTTCCACTACCCTCTCGGTGAAAAACTGGCCCTGATTTCACTCCTAAATGGCCTGGCTCTAATTTTAAGATGATACCCCCTTGTTCTGTATTCCCCTCCAGAGGAAATAGTTTCTCTGTCACTACCCTATCAAATCCCTTTATTATTTTAAAAACCTCAATCAGATCAGCTTCAACCTTCCAAACGCAAGGGAATAGAGACCAAGTTATACTCAACCCTTTAAGCTCTGGTATCACACGAGGAGCAGGTGAGATTGTGACACAAATGAAATTCCCCCCAGGAAGTGACCTGCATATTAACGTTTACTAAACCCAGCCCAGCAATTGCTCACCCCAGGGCTCCAGCCCACACCAAGAGCGAGTGTCAGCGACTGGGACTGTGAGGGGTGGGCTTGGAACAGGACCATTGACAGCACGGCCTGAACCTCTTCTCCCAATGTCCTCGTTCGCACCCCTATCACCCTACACGCAACCAATGGGGGTGGGGGGATAATGAGGATACAAGCGAGAGTTAGAATTCTGGTCTATCTTACTCCTCGCTCCTCCCTCTCCAGCCCTAAGAGCTGAGGATAGTGGTGGTGCTCCCTGCCTCTCCCACCACCCCGGTCGCTGGGCCAGGAGTGGGGTGATCCACGTGGGGATGGTTATGCCCACGTAAACATGGCACAAACTTGGGTTTAATTTCTCATCAGGACACAGGCTGAGTGAGGATGTGGGGACAGACACCAGGAAGTATTTCTTTACACAATAATTAATAGCCGGACGTGACGACCAAGAAGTTGGTGGGGGGCCCCGGGTCTCTGGGGCCCCTCCTCGCTGTGAAGCGCAAAGTGGGAGATGAATCCCCATTGATAACCGGTCGCCACTCGCTGACTCCAATCACAAACAGATTTAACCATCAGAGTGTTGTCCAACATCATCCCCTGGAGGCAGATCACAGGCACAACAGGCATCACCCACCCAGAGCAATGAAAACATTGCAGAAACTTCACTAACAAAACACTTTGATTGTTTGTCAACCGACCTCCGCAGACATACACACACAGGGTGAAAAGCCAGAGCCTCGGCACTGATCCTGGGGCCACTTGTCTCTGCCTTAGTCAGAGATTGGAGCCCTGTAGCTCAGCCCGAGTCAGTGCTCAGTTTGCTGTGAATAACTAATAACTGTCCCCCTCCAATTATCAGTCAAGGTTTTAGCTCCTCATCGTGCTCGAGGTGCTTTGTTTTGGAGGCTTTGTATGTGGATGTCGGGCGAGGACAAGGTTGAAGTATGAACAGTGGCCACTTTGGAAAAGGAACCGTGGAAAGAGTCCAAACACTTTTTGAAAAAAGTACCACATAATGAACTGAGCCAATGCATGTCATTCACACATTAACAGCAAGGGGGCGCCACAGCACAGGGCAGCAATACGGCAAATACAGCACTCGCTCCTCACTCACTCCCTCATCACAAAACCCAATCGGTGGGGAAGGAAACCTCGGGGTAGCAAGAGACCAACAACAATAAAGCATTGAAGTCTCGGTGTCGGAATCCACATGGTATCACATTGGTTCAAAAAAATCATTTCCTGTGGACCGCATTGTTGGCGGCAAAATCCTTCCAAAGATGTTAAACTGAGATCTGGATGTTAAAGAGCTCTTGGAGCTTCCCAGTCCTGTCCAGAAAACTTACTCCAGTTTCACCTCATGGATATCTGTGAATTTGCTGTGTGTACACTTACTGGTGTGTCTGTCTACAAACACACAGTCACTACACTTGACAGCACTTACCTGTGAAGCGCTAATAAAAGTGCTGGGATTAGATAAACGAGTGTCAAGAGCGGACCCTCACGGTGGGCATCAGACCGTGAACACGAGATATTTACAGCAAAATCAACCATGACCTCACTCTGTGCTGCTGTCAATATTTGCCTGTGGAACTGGAGTGGAATACAAACTAATTAGGCCAGATATACACGCCACAGCTGTCGAGCGTGTGTTTCCTGAAGCTAATTACCGCCCGGGTGTTTATTGCAGGCTCAGAGCCACCCAGCCCGGTTGTACGAAAACACTGTTGGGTGGGTACCTGAGCTGGGGTAGGGGGCGGGGTAGGGACCTGAGCTGGGATTGGGGTGAAAGATGACCAGAGGATTGCGCACAGCATTAATCCATTGAAAGGAAGATGAGAGCATGGTTAATCTCAGGAAACCTTGCATTTTTAGTGGGACCGAATATGTCGTCTCAATCTGCCTTGCAGGCAGTAGGCTTGTAGATAGCCAATTTGCAACATAGAAACAGGAGGAGGCCATTCAGCCCCTCGCGCCTGTTCCGACATTCTATAAGATCGTGGCTGATCTGTACCTCAACTCCAATTACCCACCGTGCCCCGTATCCTGACCTAACAAACATTTATCTACCTCAGTCTTGAAGATGTGAATAGATCCAGCCATGATCCACTGCCTTTTGGGGGACAGAGTTCCAGATTTCCACTACCCTCTGGGTAAAGAACTGCCCGATTTCACTCCTAAATGGCCTGGCTCTTGTTCTGGATTCCCAAATATATCCTTCTTGAGTTTTCTGTGGAGGATTGTCAGCCCGGACACCGGGAGAAACTCCCTTCTGTCTTCCAATACGGTCTGAGGGTCAGCCAACTCCCCGCCACACAGCCAGCCAGCCCCCCTCATGGCCAGCCATACCCACAGTCAGCCCCCCCTCCCAGCAACACCCCCACTACCAGCAACACTCCCAGTCCCCCCATTAACAGTGACCAAACAAAGAGTAAAGCTGTGGGTGGAGGTTCAGGATGACGCTCGATCCCTGCGAGGCCTTGATTATCATAAGAGAATCTCAGACACGGGGAAAAGCTCGATTATAACTTTATTGTTTAGTTGATCAGCTGCCGGGCACTGGTTTACATCCCAACATCAACTACTGCAGGGATTTCAGAGAGAGAGGGAGAGCCGGGGGAGTGGGGGGAGAGAAAGTGGGGGAAAGAGACAGATGTGGGGTGGGGGAGAGAGAGGGAAGAGATGGTGGAGGGGTGGGGGAGAGAAAGAGGGAGAGACGGGGGGGGGGGGGCGGGGGAAGAGAGGGTGGAGGGGGATGAGAGAGGGTGGGAGCGGGAGAGAGAGGGTGGGTGGGAGGAAAGGGGGGCAGAGAGGGTGGGAGGGGGAAGAGAGAGAGAGAATACAGCCTTGGGAATATTGAAGCAGAAAGCTAAAGGACATGAATTTACCACAACACAATCACTGGTTTAACCCCCCTTCAATGTTCAATGATTTTTGTTCAATTGATTTACAAGAAAACAAAAGGAACAGGAAAGAGATTTCTGGGGAGGGAGGGAGGGAGAGAGAAAAAAATAGTATAAAATCTGTTAAAAAAAAGATTAAGATACATTGGATGGGATTTTCAGTATTATTTCCTGATCAGTGAAAACAGCAACATGCAAAAAGGGAGTTGTGGGAGGGAGAGAGAAAAGATGTTAAAGTTTGTATCAGTGACTCTTTGTTCAGCCACCGTGTTCCTCGGTTTATAGAAAGGGTGAAAAGTGGCTGAAAATCCAGATGCTAAACCTGTAGCACTAACACATAGACACCTGCACACACACACGCTCATACACATACACACACACACACGACAAACCCTATAAATACACACAAAACCCTAAAGGATATAGGTACGTTTCAATTCAATTAATTACGTCTCTCTCCAAAACAGCGATCAATAAAATAAAAAGCAACATGCAACTAGTAATTTAAAACCTCCCCAAAAAAGAAATAACAGTTTCTCATCCTCATCGTCTATAAATGATTTTAAACCCACTGCGCCCACCTCCCCCCACCCCACACCCTAACACAAACCGTCTCAGTGCCTCTATGGTTAAAGCCCTTTAGGAAGCCCTGCTCTCACACTCAGAAGATCTCTGGGCCCTTGGCAACCACAAGTTGCCCCTAATAAAGGGCAGGAAATCTAATCTCACTTTATTTAATGTAGAAAAAGTGACAGAGCGAGCACCGAGGGCTGTGTTTAAAAAAAACTTAAAACCTACTTCCTTCCTAGCACGAAGCCAGTCATTTACCTACAGATATTATAATTGTGACACTCACTAACTCTGTTGGGAAGCATGGGTTGAGTCTGATAGAGAACGGCGCCCACTCTTGTCTCTCGATACTAAAACTAGGATTATACACGACAATTTGCTTCCAGTGTTTATGTATAATATACCAGCAAGTAAATCAGTTTTAATAATAATAAGAAGTTTTGGTCAGTCGGGTGTCTAAGACGCGTGCAAGGAAACCCACCACCGTGCTCGAGAGTTATCCAAACCAAAACTACTGAGAGAGAGAGAGAGAGAGAGAAAGTTCCACATAGGTATGTATGCATTTGAGTCCGTCTGGTTTTGGTTGTAAAAAAATGTAGTCAGGCTATTTCCAGAGTACAGGTGGAGTAAAAATACAGCAAGCTGTGGCCCTGGTTCCTGTGACTGAGGCGCGCCTGTTAGTGCAGACACAAACACACACCTAACTGTCCGACTAACTCAGTCCTGAGTTCTAAACCTCTCATGAACTGCTGAGCAGCAGTGAGGAAACATAGTCTCAGCACTTGCTCACTCGGCAAAATTTAAAAGGAGCCCGGAGTTGTTAGATCTGTTGCGAGAGGTTTTCCCGCTGCTGTATGGCCAGCTGGCCTCTGTCAGGGCTCCCAGGCGCTCGCTCTCCCACAAAGTAAAAAAATAACTTAAAACTTGTCTCGGGGTCGGGTCGACGGCAAACAAACAGTCTTCACATCCGTGAGCCTCGTTCTTGCAAAATCTGGAAGAAAGGATTGAAACAACAGGGAACGGGTTTAAGTCGGTCCATCATCAAGGATGCAGGTTTCTCTCAGTCCATCTACCTGACCCTCAACCAGCCTGGCGTCTCTCTCTCTGCCTCCTGACCGCACTCTCACTCACTCTTGAGTCTTTTTAAACCGACAGCTGGTCTGAATACATCCAATTCCTCATTTCTGATGTTTCCTGACCTTATTAATCACCAAACCTGCTTGTCTGTCCTCTCTAGAAATATATATAAAAAACGTGATATATACATAGGATACACTATAGAATACAGTACATCTAATTACCTACACACTGAGCTCTAGTAAAGGAGCCTAGAGACGGAGGGTGGTGGGATACTCAGCACTAACACTATAGGAAAAGTGCACAGAGATTGGTTTGTTCAGGGAAGCAGTGATTTACTGGTTTGGGGTTAGAATGGGGGAGGTGGGTGTGGGGAAGGATGGGGATCTCGGGGTCTCTACTGGCAGCCCGGCTCACCGTGCCATTTCTATTTCAATATTAATCTGAGTCATTCATATCGCAATCCGTCTCCTCATCCTCGCTCTGGGTAGCAGCATGCAAGAGATGTAAACAGGAAGAGAGAAAGGGGTAGTGTGTGGGGTGGTGGGTGGGGGAGGGGGGCAAGAAAGATCGAGGTGATTAAATCTCCGAAGCTGACAATCAGCCATTACAGGACACGGTTTATATCAAACACAGTTTAGAGCCGGGCGACAATGATCAGGCCGAGGAGAAGGTCACCAGCAAACGTGGTTTCGTTTGTGGCCCCAGAAGCGTCCGGGACACTGCCCCGTGTGAAGGGCGCTGCATAAATGCAAGTTATTGTTGGTGTTCAGTTGGGATGAATTTTATATTGTCCACTCACTGAGGTCCAGTTGAGCCAAACTCCATGAGGTAGGACTCTGAGCAGACACAGACCAGCTCCCCCCCACCCACCCCAGTCTGGCCAGCCAGGATGGCATGTGGCTGGCAGTGTGTTGTGTTCTGTCATCCCAAATTGGTTCCCGCCCACTGCTGAGCTCTTTATAATAATCCTTGCATTTGATACAGCGCCTTAACGCGTCTTCAACACGCCTCAAAGCGCTTCATAGGATACACTGTAAAGTGAATTGACTGTATATTTGTGGGCAAAACACGACAGCCAATTGTGCACAGCAGTGTCCCACAAACAATCGTGGATTGAGTGACCAATTTATTGTCGTTTTTTTAATCTTGAGGGATTATAATCAGGTGTGTGTGTGTGTGGAGTAAGGAAACTTGCCCAAGGTTTCGCCCTGACCGGCCGGGAATCGAACCCAGGTCACTCGCTTACGAGGCGAGTGCTCTAACCACTGAGCTATAGGACTCCTCTTCCCCCCCCACAACCCCTCACAACGGAAGTCGCTGGGAACACTCAGCAGGTCAGGCAGCATCTATGGAGAGAAGGGATTTGAATGTAAGGAACCCTCTGCTGAGTGTTCTCAGCGACGTCTGTTTTTATTTTAAATTTCCAGCATCTGCAGTATTTCCCCTCAAAGCCCCCCCCCTCACCCCCGCTCCCCTTGTTGACCGGGCTGCGTGTCACTGACCTTGGCTTTCTCGCTGGGCTCAGTGTTGTTGCCGTATGGGGCGTTGTGCAGCTCCCTAGACACCACGCACAGGAACTCGGCCTGATCTTCATTGCCATAGTTATAGGAGGAGCCGATACTGACCAGCTGTGGGGAGAGAGAGAGAGACAGAGAGAGAGAGAGAGAGAGAGAGAGGAGACGTGGAGTTTACACACCGCACGTAAAACATTGACGCGCAAAGTCCGGAGGCAAAAGCAAACACTGGGGGAGCTCAGATCGCGAGGTTCAGCCACTACCACAGAATAGCTACAACACACATTACAACAGAAAGCAACAGAAAGTTAAGCTGGCCACCACAAACATGATGGATCATGATACATGCCACAGGCACGAGAGATGGAAGGGGTCAGGTGGGATGACTGATCTGGGGGCTGGACATCACATCACACAGCGCTGAGGACAGAGGCCAGAGCAGCTTATAAACACCCCCCCCCCCTCCCCACCCCAACAGTCCCACTGGGCCCCTCCCCGCCCAGCCTCAGAACCCTCCCATGTGGTGAAGGGAAGCCAGTAACTACGCCTAATCTTTTAAGATTTAGGATTTGCGAGAACTACAAAATTACGGCAAATTATTATTTTTTTAAAAATCAGTAAATTTGGAAGTGGCTTCTTCACTCTCAAAGCTGAGGAGATCTCGAGATCTGGCTGGAAAGTGACATACGCTTGAGATTAATTTCCAAATAACGTCATAAAACTTCATGCGATTGGCGAGTGCCGCAAAGGTGCTGGAAATTCACTTTAACATTTGGATTTGCCTCCGCGAGGGGTGTGTGAAGCTTCTCTTGTGCCACTCCCCCCACCCCGCCATACACACACCACACACACGCACGCAATGTCAAGGGCAGGCAGCCACCGGTTGGGATTTGTATTAAGAGATTTTCCAGTTTTAAAACTGCTGAAGTTTTTTCTGCAGAGAATATGCCACTCTAATATATCTTGCACAGCCTAGCCCACCTCGCACTGCGCACAGTCTAGCCCCCCCATTGCGCACAGTCTAGCCCCCCCCCTCGCACACAGTCTAACCCGCCTGCACTATGTCCCTTGTAATTCTCGGCACAGTATGCAGTTCCAGAAGCCCACAACCCAGCCCAGCCCTGCTCACTCTGTGGCTTGTGTAGTTTTTTCTGCATTTCCCCACACTGCTGCTAAAGTGTAGACCACAGAGAGTAAATTACACAGTGTTGTATTGTCTCCCAGTGAGCTCCCAAACAGCAGCTCAGAGGAGAGTGTGGGCAGAGTACAGGAGCAGCCCAGCACCTTGGGGAGAGTGAGCAGGGCCAAAAGGAATGGAAACTAGAAACCAGAGTCAATAAAAACACAGATTTTCACAAGTCGTTGCCTTGCACACTCCCAGTTTACAAAACCTTTATAAAGTCCTCCCTCCTCACCCCTACCTGTCACACCCGATCACAGTGGCCATGTGAGGTGCTCTCCTACACACTACACAAGGACAACGGTGAAAACAAATGACCAAACCCTCTGATTTTAAACTGTAGTGTTTCCACGTCCTGATCACATAAAGCAGGTCCCTGACTAGGTGGGGTTGGCATGTTCACCCTGTGCGATCCTAAGGCAGACAGAGATGTACTAGAGTTGTCCTCTGATAACCAGATAACATCACATCCAGACATACCTGCCACCGCCACCCCCCTACCCCCCACACACCAACCACAGACACAGCCATCAGCCCCCTACCCCCACCCCACTACACACACACACCAACTCACTGCCAAAAACACTGTAACCAGTAACTCCTCACAGCAGCTCACCTATGGCTAGGCAAGATTTTAAGCAGCTTTCAGGCACACAAAGAGAAATCAGTCACGTAGAACCTATATAATCCCGAGCCTGGGTCACAGGGATCTCCTGTGCTCAGTGCTGACATGCTCGGGTGCTATAGAACATGGGGTGAGTGGGAGTGCTCACACCAAGTTCCAATCCCAACTCTCTCCTCTCACATCACTAACTCACATCAACACTCTCCTGGCTGCCTTCTTAATCATCAAGAGCACGGCATCAAGTCAAACAGGCAAGCTGAGGAGCCCAGGGCCAGCCCAATGGTATTTTATAACTAAACAGCTTGGATAAATTTGTCGTGCTGGTTCCCCTGTGGTTTCTCACCCCACACAGGCTTGAAAACAGTTGCCGACACCAATGGTGACGAGGGCTGTGTGTATTCATAGGAACAGGCCCTAAACCCAGAGCACAGAAACAAGACAGGAGTCCCTCAGCCCCACAGACATTAGATTTTATAAGGGCTGTACAAGCAGAGACAGGGCTGGGCCCCATACAAACATAGCACAGACACTCACACAGGAACAATAGCCATTTGCATGAGTCACTGTGTGTAAATGCACGTATTCATTGGAGATTATATAATTATGTAATTAACCAATTCTTCAGTTTAATTACATGTAAATGCATTTGCACATGGTTTCCACTCGACATATATTATACCCAATGTGCCACACTGGGCTGCCCTGAGCTGACAGTAACAGGCCTGACACTAAGGGAAGTCAGGCAGTTTCAACAAGGAAACGTCCCAATCAAATTCTGACTAATCAAATGATTAATCGGAAACCTAAAGATCATGAGTGGGTGGGATATTTAGAAAATATTCTCCACAGAATGATCCCCCAGAGTCTGCTTGGCCCATTGGTCTTTGCCCGTTGGTGCTAATTGCTCCACTGGTGCTCTCTACTCTTAATCCCAGGCCACTCCCCTCTCCCTCCCCCACTAAAGCACTCTCATAATTTTAATGAAATATTTATCCATTTCCCCATTAAATGCTGTTGCGCATTTGGCTCCGACAGCCATTTGCAGTAATGCATTCCACGTCCTAACAGGCCTCTGTATAAAACCTTTCCTCTAATCTCTCGCTAATCTCTTTTGTGGGTAATCCAGTCACTACACTTTACACTTTACACACTTTCTGTACAGTGCTTTGAGACGTCCTGAAGATGTGATAAGGCGCTTTATCAAATGCAAGGATTATTATTATTATTTCTGCCTGTTGCTGACCGTAAGTGAAGTCTCTCTCTCACCCGCCCCCAAAACGATTTACAGCCTTGACACCTTGGATACGCCTTAACCGTTTTCCTGCCCCAAGTATAACACCCCGCCCCCAACCAAATGTTCAGGTGTCTGTTGACCCTGTCTCAGCGACTTTCATGGATTCCTCTCAGAGTAAAAAGGGTAAATACAAAATGAACAGATAAAATTCCAGACTGGAAAGTGGTTTGACCATTTAGCAATAAGGAACAAACAGATACTTATTACAGACCAGATATCCTTAAGGTTCATTCGGGAGAATACTGCAGAGCACAACACGCTTGGGCACAGGTGTAAGTTACAGGAGAGGAGTCCTGGAGTACAAGTGGGGCAGCAAGCAGGGCTACCTACCACTGGCCGCAACACGCTCAGGTTGGGAAGGAGAATCAGCCAGTCTTCCTGTGTGGTGACCTGTGCTGGAGGGTGTGGGTGTGTGTGTGTGGGACTGGCTCAGAGCTCCCCTGAGAGATCACACATTGGCTGAACACATTGCTGACAGGCACTCTTGACCCCTGAGGCAGCCTGTCCCTGGCTCGAAGAAACAGATTAAACGCCTTCTGAAGAGGAGAGTATAAACCAAACCTAGAGAGACCGCAGTGGTCTTTTCCAGGCCTGTAGATTCCTGCAGCCCCACCCGGAGAAAATCGCCAAAAATAATAACAATCCTTCCATTTGATATAGAGTCTCACAGTGTTATGTATGATATACTATAAAATGGAGTGCCTGTGTATTTTGTGGGCGAAATGCAAAAAGGAAAAAAATTGGCCAAAAGAATAAAATACTTTACACCTTCACCAAAAACAATGCTCTGTCCTGATAAGGGAGGTAGTAACCGTTCAGAAAGAACTCCAGTTAGGGAATAGAAATGGAGGGGGGGTGGGGGGACAGAAAAAGAGTGTGACGCACACACAACACACACACCAGGAGAGCGACCCGCGCACGCGCGCACACACACACACACACACACGAGGAAAAAGACACACACACACACACAAACGAGAGAGAAAGAGACAAATACACACACACCAAGAGAGACACACGCGAGGAAAGAGAAAGACACACACACCAGGAGAGAGAGAGAGACACACACATGAGGAGATAGAGAGAACCTTTTGCAATTTCATCCCTTAATGAAAAAAATCGGAATTATCACCGGCCAAAAGCTGGAAAACGCGGGTGTGAGAGAGACGAGCAGGTTAGCGAGCAGTCCTCACCCTAACCCTGACACAGCCCCACAGACACGTGCAGCACAGACAGAGGCACATGTGGAACAGGATGCAGAGGATGATGTGAGACAGGTGGGGAGAAGGTTAGAGGAAGCACGGGTGGAGTGGGGTGCATGTGGCAGGCAAGGGGAGGCGAGTGATGGTGAGAGAGTGCAGTGAGGTGGAGGGAATGACTGGGACAGACCTCGCTGCTGCTGGTGTGGAAACTGCTCTCCTCCCCCTTCACCTCCCGCGACACAATCAGCAGAAACTCTGACTGATGGTCCCGGCCATAGCCATACGGGGTGCCTATACTGACCAGCTGTAACAAGCAATCAGAGCACAGAGATTGCAACACCAGACACACCAAAAGAGCAATGCAGTTTACACAAGCAATCGGCTTCCCCGCTGACCGCACAACACTTCAGTCACTGGCAGCACCTAACCCCCCCTGCCAGGCAACCAGGCCCCTGACTGACCTCGCCCAGAGGGCCATTAAACATCAACAGTCAGTGCCAGCAGGCAGTCAGCTCCACACATATGTACCTTACAGCAAGGTGTGCTCTGGGGAGTGATCGAGAGCAGGGACACTGGCTGATACCCACCTCCACCCCCAACATAGGAAATGCCACCTGCAGAACCTGGCACCTTCTGGATCTATATAACTCAGCTACTCACTGAGCCAGAGAAGAACATAAGAACAGGAAGAGGCCAATCAGCCCCTCAAGCCTGTTCCACTATTCTATAAGATCATGGCTGATCTGTACCTCAACTCCAATTATGGATGCTGTGGGGTGGGGCTGGAAGGGTTGAATCAGACTAAAACATTACAAAATTAATTTTATTCTTAAACAATGAAAATAAATGGGGGGAGAACAAGGACTTGTGTTAGACAGGGACACTCTGATTTACCTAATCCAGTAACTGTATTTTTTTTTAAACAGAAAATGAAGAAAAATACAAGATTTAAGGCAAAAGTAATAAAATCGATAAAACCAACCCAGCTCCAGTTTACAATTCTCTGGGTTTCGTAACTGAGAGCCATTGACTTAATTTCAACCTTAGGCTGTTTTTCTGGTGTAACGGGGGGGTGGGGGTGGAGGGCCAAATTGAACGGGTTTTGCCTCAAAAAAACACTTCAGGCAGCAGCGGGCACAAGAGGAGAGCAGTGTCCAGCCCGAGCAGAGAAACCACAAGGGGATGCCCCTGCGGAACAGAATTCATTGGCAGAAAACAAGGCGGGAAGGACGGGAAGGGGAGAAAATCAAGTATTTAACTGAAAAAACAGCAAATCAAATTAACTGTCACAAGCGGCTTACGGTTCCTCTACACCACCGAGGGTTTGTGTAACCAGTGGCTGACCTTCGCAACGCATCTGGCGTTAGCCCAGCCATCAAGTACCGCAATACATGTGAGTTAGCAGGTCTGGTCTGGTTGATGGGAGGCACAAGCGTGGAGGGTGACGGGGCTGCTGATAAACAGATGCTGGTGGATTAATGTTAAACAGAGCTCAGGTGATTGACGGTGTGCAGGAGCCACACACCTGCACTAATGTAGCCAACGTACCTGCTCAAACTTCCAGCCGTCAGACATGGTGGACACCATCTGGGTGAGCTCCTCCTCCTGACACTGCAGGACTCTGTACACGTGCTTCACTGGGATCTGTGGGCGACACGTTACAGGCAGCGATTGGTTCAACAGCTTTAAAATGCCAGGTCAGGGGCTTGGGTTGCGATGGAGAGCGATAGCCTCAGACGCTCCAGGATGAGAGAAATTCAGGGTGGACACATTACCTGTGGCGCTGAATAATCGGAATGATTCACTCAAGTACTGAAAATATTCAGGCTTCCCAGTAAAACCTTCTCTTCCCCTTTCCTCTGGAATTGTGCACAGCATAGACACAAGCTACAATTCCCCATCTCCTGCTACTCAGGGGGCTTCAGTGATTTCTGGACAGCAGCCCAAGGGATAGAGGCTAACCCCATAGCTGGTAAACCTCACACTTCGGTTTTGTTACTGCAGACAATGCGTTGGGACAGTGAAGCTCTCAGCCTCACCTCTCAGCTGCTTCACTGTGTCATTTGTGGAATGGTGACCAGATCATTACGTTCAGGCATCACGTGTCCATGTCTCTATCAAAAGCTAAAACCATTCTGGCAGGAGGCAAAGATTTACATGGCTTTTTAATGACCTGTTTCTTCACAGCGATGCTCAGCAGAATACCTACAGAGAATATCCCTGTATCAGCAGGTACATAACACCCGTCAAGAGGAAACCCATTAGGTCCCTATAGCCATTTCCACTGTCAACCAGCGTGCGGGAGCAGGACAAAGTGCAGAGTCTCCTGCGGGAACCCCATGTACAACCCACGAGAGTTCAGCTCGGTTCCGGTTGCTTGTGGCCCCCCCCCCACCCCACCTGACCAGCTCACTCACCTGTGTCGTTTTGCTGTCTCGCTCTCTTATCCGGTCTTTCACCAGTTTTATTAGTGACGTGATATTGTAAAACTCAGCCTCCTCCAGCACACCTGAAAGGAACACAGATTCAGCTTTCAGTGTGTCACACTAACTCTCTCTGATGAGGAGATTTCCAGACTACGTGATGTGACCAATGTCTTTTCTTGCACTAAGGTTTGGATATCAGACGAGGTCAAGACTGATCTGTGGCTGCAAACCTGTTCACACTCGAGCAAGGGGGGAAGAGGGGATAAAATCAAGCTCGTACCTTCCTCTGCTAAGTCTTTGTTAATGACCAGCTTCCCATGTCTCAGGTAGTTGAGCACTGGCCCGAAGTAGGTGGGGTCTCGGTCAATGAGATAGGCACCAGTTTCATCCTGAAAAATTTAAGCACAGAACATGCTGTTAGAGATCGTACAGGGAAGATTTCATCCTCATTGGGTGAGGGTGAGATGGTTCACCCTCACCCAATGCTCCACAACCTCCATTCACACAGCAGCACTGAACAGTTCTCCTCCCCACACACTGAGGCCACCACACTGCCCCCCCCACTCCACCCTGTCCCCCTACTCCACACTGGGGGGGGGGGGGGGGGTGGGGTGGCCGCAGCGGTTATGAAGGCTGTGGAAGCAGCTTGGATCCGCTACTAGATGCTGAAACGCAAACATCCTGCAAGACACAGAAGAGATTTCGCCTGGAAGGAACATTACTCATTGCGTTTCATACAAGGTATTCAGACCAGCACCGAACAAGAGAGTTCTGCAATTACAGGAAACAGCTGCATGAAAGACATTTCTGTATTAAAAAGGCCGTGAGTAAACCCAGCTCAGTGCAACCAGACTCTGACACAGAACACTAAACTCCTGGGAAAGCTAGTAACCAGGGCTCTCAGCACTGACACGACAGACGCACAGCGACATAGGCAGACAGAGACACACACACACCCACACACAACAATTTGCATTTATATAGCACCCCACGCAGGGTAGAGTAGTGGCTGAAAGCACGTCCGCGAATGGTGCAACAAAGGGCGCGAGAGACACGCAGGAGGCTGGAGCCAGTCGAGAGGAGGCAGCAAGTTGTGGGGTAAACAGGTTGGAGAGGTAGGGAAGCGCCAGGGCATGAAGCGATTTGAAAACGAATGTGAGGATCTTGAAATCGACACACACATACACACAGATACACATACAGAAACACAGACAGATAAACACACAGAGACACAGACAGAATGAAAACCAACGCCAGCGGACTAAGGAAAAGCTTTGGATTCACAAATGGGAAACTCAATAAACTTTCTGATGCTGAACATAATGCCATCAGTCCCATCAGAACAGGTCAGGTTCTGAACTTGGTTCCTGGGTTTAGACAAGTTGGGGTTGGGGGGGGGGGGGAGAGAGACCCTCCAACGACTCACTGCTATACGAGCTAAGTGTCAGCACCATCCACTCCCGCACATCAAAGCTTACACACAATACACTCACTCCACTTTACACTATATTCTGTGAAGCACTTTGAGACATCTCGAAGTTGTGATAAGGTGCCATATCAATTGCAAGAACGATTATTATTATTAAATCTATGACTCAACTGAAGTAATGGCTTTAACCAAGTCACGTGAATCACAAGTCCAGATTTGACTGGGCCAGGCAGCAGCAACACCACCACCACATTATATTTCTATAGTGCCTTTCACATTGTGAGGACCTGGGTAATCAGTGTGATAGGGAGGTGGTAAGCTGGAATCGATTCACCTAAAAACATCAACTTGCTCATTACCTCAGACATGTGTAACTGGGGGAAAAAGATGGCAAGTTTACTAGGAATTTCTTCACACAGACACTGTAGTCACAATCCCTCTCACACTGGACTCGGAGCTTCAAGTACTTGAATTTTGGCTCAGTCAATTGGTTAGTTAATGCCTTCAGCCCTTTTTTAAACATCAAATATTTATCAAAGACAGGAAACCACAGAATGGATTCTGAAGGCAGTAAATTATGTACAGCTCAATGAGCTTTTAACAGTAGTAGTTCTATTCTCTCTGTCTCTCTCCCCACCCAGCTTAAGAGTTCGAGGGAGTGGAAACGTAAGACAGCTGTGAAATGCAGTTTGTTGTAAAGACACATTAAAGCCTAATTGAATTCGGTGTCCTTTTAAAGGAGAAAGGAGAAGAAACATCGATCCTTAAAAAGCATTAAGACCCATTTATATTTCAAGCCTCAGTGTTAAGCGATGTTCTGGAGCAGGAGGCAAATCACTTAAGACTGAAGTAGTTCCCGCAGAAAGCCACTCCCCAAGTACAAGTGATCCCCAAGTACAAGTGATCCCCAAAAAGGTTGCTCTCCCAAGAGCTCTCCGTGTGTGTTATTAGCAGCTATTATATTACTGCTCTGGCAGTGAGGAGACACGGAGTTCATGGGGTCCTGGCAGAGGCTGCTCCACGTCTCCACACGTTCGTTGTCTCCTGGTCGCTGCTGGTCACGACTCTGCAATTCGTGTGTCAGGAGCAAGTGTGAGAGCAAGGGTTAGACAATGAATCTGCTCGTCTTTCTCCGCTTTAAACCAGACACGAGCACGGCAGCCAGCAACACAGCAAAGCAGCTGGTTTGGAGCAGTGGGGGGGGGTAAGAACATAAGTATTCGCTGACTGCAAGACCAACAACTTGCATTTATCTAGCGTCCCGGAGCGCTGCCGGGTAGACCAAGGTCGATCCAGTTCTCCTTCCACTATCCAGGTAGACATGTCTTGCCCAAACTATATACTGTCTCACCAGATACTATTTCCTAACAGAAATCTGTCTCATTTGTTCTTGAAAGGATGGAGGAACATTTTGGTGTTTGTGCTGGATTATTTTGGGAGCTGAGGGAGTCTCGGTGCAGGTTTTCTCCAGGAGACGGCGGGGGGTAGGGCTGGGTATGGCCAGGATACACTGATTAATGACTGGAGCTTTATTGGTTGGAACACAATTGCTGTCACGTGCTCTCTTCATTTACTCTCTAACGAGTTCAGTCAGAATTCACCTTGTGATTTGGGACGGACACTGGGAAATCCTGCCTTGCCAGTATCTTCCCGGGAAAGCAACTTTACATTGTCAGGGATTTATCATTGTAAACACCACCTGCTCTGCTGCAACTGCTGTAAAGGGCTTAGACTCTCAATCCCAACAGCCCCCAGATCGAGGACCTCTGGGACCCAGTGAAGGCAGCTGGGCGAGGGATTGTTTTGTAGCCCTCACCTCAGGGACATGTTTACTTTTCCAAATGATCTCTTTCCCGAGCTCTGGGCCACCCTGGAGAAACACTCCCTCAAGAACAGCTCAGCTCCAGGTGCTCACAACTTGGGTCACTTGCACAATTCCAACACCAGACAATTTCTCCCACAAAACGTACAGGCAATTCACTTTACAGTATATTCTGTGAAGCGCTTTGAGAGGTCTTGAAGACGTGTCATGGGTCTGTATCAAATGCAAGGATCATTATTATTTGATATATCGCCTTATCAGCTCTTCCAAGACATCTCAAAGTACTTCATAGAATATACTGTAAAGTGAGTTGACTGCATCCAAGGATTATTAATGTTAATATGACAGACACAACGGCCTTGAGTTTGCAGCTCTGTTCCCCATTACAGTTCTGTAATCAATTCCATGACAGAGTTTATTATACGTCACAGGCCACGGATGGCTTTCAGGACTTGTAGGCTTGCAGTTAAGATCACACTCTAACTTTCTCACTGAAAATATTCAGAGTTTCACTTCTCCCCTGATAATTCACACCACTGATTGTAAACATCCTCTTGGTTGGCTGTTGTTATCCCCCCACTCCAACGCTGCCAAGACCCCAGAGCCCTAGCCCATGTTCTGAGTTTTAAGCATGTGCTGCTCAGGTAGACACCCATCTATTTATTCCCCCAAACCAGGCTCATCCCTGCATTTATTCACATCAAACACTTCCCAACCGCGCTTTAACAGAGGCAGATAAACAAATAGTGAAATAGCTGTAGACTGTGCCCTTTAGTTGGTCTAGTAGGTTCATACGTCCCACAGCTGTTCAGCTCAACGCACGTGTGATTATTATTGCAGCGTTTGAGACCAACTCAGAATAGGGGAAATGGAGGAAACAGTTTCCATTTAACTGAGGCGTGTGTGTGGAGTACGGAAACTTGCCTAACGTTTCGCTCTGTCCCACCCAGAGCTCGAACCCAGTCTCACTTTCGAGGTAAGGGCTCTAACCACTGAGCTGCAGAACAGTGGTTTGAACGAAGCACTATTTGGAGGAAAGAAAATAACCCGATCCAACGGCGGAACTAACGAGCAGCACAGTATGGAGTGCGTGCCGTGCAGCCAATGTAGACCCTGGCCTCCGTGTGCGCCCCACAGAGCAGGAAGCAGATGGACGGGTTGGGGCTGGAGCGAGGTGTTGGCTTTGCTGGGGGGCGCAGGCGAGAGAGAGAGTAATAATTGTGAAAAGACACCAAGCTGGTGGCAGGCTGCCCTTGCGGTGTGGGCTCAGGTTATATTCCCTGTCGGTCCGCTGGGGAGATTAATTATGCAGTGAGAGAATAGCACACTACAACATCAATTATTCAGCACCAAGCTCAGCTGCTTCAGCTAATGTGCACACACCAATCTTCTTATTAAAACCAATCCAGGCTCTTTCCACTTAAACAGAAATGAAAGCAGAAGTTGCTGGGAACACTCAGTAGGTCAGGCAGCATCTATGGAGAGACGGGATGACCTGACCTGCTGAGTGTTCCCGGCGACCTTTGGTCATCGACCTGAACTGTTAACTCACTTTCCTCTCACGTTAACTCCCCATCTTTCCGACCTGCTCAGCCCCCAACCCACTTCCTCCGCTTGACTGGTTCCGGCCTTTTTCCTGTCCCTCCGTTTCACCATTGGTGGCCACGCTTTCAACCCCTGGAACTCTCTTCCTCCCTCCCTCCGCCTCGGCCCTTCCTTCTGCATTTTCAGGTCGCGCCTGAAGACCTTCCTATTCGACCGTGCCTACAGTCAACACCCCCACCACGCCTCAGAGTCGTGCTCCGCCATTGGGCTCTGGGATGTTGCCCCATGTGAGGGGCGCTGTTTAAATGCAAGTTGTTGTTGTTACAGAGATAAAGGGGGTGGCAGATTCCCCCTCATTAGCGCTCCGATAACAACCTGTGGGGCAGAATGGCCCATTTCGGTACAGATTGCCTTTTCCTCTCGAGCATACCCCAGCAAGACTTTTCAAGCAGATTTTTAAAGGAAAATTAAAGACTGTAGGTCTCTAAAACCAGGCTCCTACACCTGGCTTTCAGAGGCAGAGAGGGAGCAGAGGAAGAGCTTCACTGTCACTGAGGTCAGCCCAAGGATGAAAGGCCACAATGGCCTGGGGA